AATTAAAAAATTTTGCTATTTCACTTTGTCTCAGACAGTCTACTTGTTTGTCGTGCTGTCTGTGGTGGTACTGCTGGCAGTGAAGTTTGGCGGTGGGGGGGAATGTCTCCAGCAGTGAAGCTTTCCAAGTGGGGGGTTACCACATGGGTTTCGACCGGCACTGAGGCCAGCTGTGGTTCATTAATTCGATTACCTGTAGATTCAGGGCCGGTGGTTAACCGGCATGCAATCCCTAAACTCATCCGTGAGATCAAGGCACCAGTGATTCAGCAGCCAAACACGAACATCACAATGTCAGCACCCTGTCTGTGCTCGGCACTGTCAGTCCTCTGAGCCCAACCCCTACGCTTCAGCATCTGCCCAAGTGAGCCGTGACTGAGCTGCAGTCAAGCCCGGCCGCTGGTGCTACTTCACTGTTTGTTTACCCATCCGGATGCTAAATCAATCATGACCAAACTTTTTTTTGACTGAAGTGGAATTCAAAAAAAGTAAAGAGCTTCACACAAGATGCCCATTATGTAGATACTAAGTTTTTTGCTTTTTTCAGTCTTTGCTAACAGTGGAGAAATTATATTTCTTACCATAATAGAAATAACAAAATCCTTCGTAAAATGTTTTCTTCTGTGGACATCATAACTTTTATAACTGGCATTATAACAATAACTGTTCCCAACTACAACATTGGGAAGCATATTCCAATCCCCGCTTTGTAAATAAATGTCTTTTTTTCTTTCTTTTGAAATGGCTGCTGAATGCTTTCCTTTTTCGGCCTCGAATTCTTGAATCTGGACTAAATTTAAAGCAGTCCACTGGGCTGACTTATCAAGATTTATTTTGGATCATGTCAGTCTTCTTTGCCTCTTGTGAGGACATGATATTTTGTACAAACCCTATAATAGTGTCCATCCTCTCTGTTTCATGAAAATACAGGAATATCTGAATATGTCTGCCTTTCGCACACATGTAAACACCCTCAGCATCAGTATGCTCTCACAAACACACATATACCTTCAGGAACAATAATAATTCCAGTCTGAAATTGCCCGATAGTATTTCAACTGAGACCCACTGTTAAATCCCCCCCCCCCCCCCCCCCACTACAAGGTGTGTGCTCATACACTCTGTGGTCAAAAGTATATAGACACCTGCTTGGCCAACATCTAATTCCAAAATTAATTGTATTAATATGATAAATACATGCTTACTTAATGCATTAATTAACCAGTAACTAAGTGTTTGTTATGCACTGATCCCATGCTTGTTCATCATTAATCAAGCATGACAGTTCATGTATTCCATTTGGGCACTGCATCAGTTAACCCTCTGGGGTCGACGGCATTGTTGGCGATGCCGTGTGTCTTTCTCGTGTATTTCAGTTCACAACTCACTGAAATCTTTTTGTAGAAACATGAAAAAAAAACGGTGATTAAATCCGTAATCTGTCTTCTTTTCAAAACGTCCATTGTCAGAAGTATTTAAAATTAGGTTAAATAGGCAAAAAAGTAAACCATGTCACCTTACTTTGCTTTACCTGCAACGGGGCCGTGTAGTGCTGCCCTCACCTGAAGATTCACATTCTAAATAGCCGCATTAGCGCGTATTCAAATCGCATTCACATGGTAATTTGATGAACAACGCAACGGTGAAACGCGATCCAGATACGTCCCCGTCAGAGCCATAAAGGGGGGGGGGGGGGGGGGGG